GAAGGAAGGAAGGAAGGAAGGAAGGAAGGAAGGAAGGAAGGAAGGCAGGCAGGCAGGAAGGAGGGAAGGAGGGAAGGAGGGAAGGAGGGAAGGCAGGAAGGAGGGGTTTTTAACTTTCTGGGGAGAGGAGGGACCTAGGAAAATTGAGGGGACATTCCGATGGGTGAGGAGTGTCCTGCCGAGGAGGAAGGAGGAACTGGGAGGCACGGGAAGCTGGGGAGAAAGGGACTCTTGGAGCAGACATTGCAGAACTGGGGATCCTTCCCACCTGGGCCCTGGGTGAGTGTCTTCTCCTCAGGGCACTGAGTAGGTCTGCATCTAAAGTGGGTGGGCCACTGTCCTTGCCCTTCTGAGATTCTGGAACATTCTGGCTGGTGCTCCAGCATGTGCTTCTAGTGCCCCTGATTTCTTGAGTGTGAGCTTTTGAGTGTGTAACTTTCTGATATGGGATGAGAGGAGGTTCCAGGACTGGAGGATCCTCGGATTCGGGGAATTGCAGCTCCTATAAAAGGATCCTCCAGACCCGCGGTGCCAGTGACTGGTGGGCTTGCCTGACCTGCTTTTCCTCCCCAGTGCCTATGGGTAACCCTAACCCTACCCCTGGGCCATTGCTGGGCTGCCAGCCTGTTGGTGCAACTTCGGGCCTGCGCTGTCTGGGAGTGCAGGGCTCTCCCAGTACATGGGAGAGGGGACATCTCGAGGCATGTTGCCTTGCTCCTTCCTGGAGCTCCGGAGGGACCCCCTCAGCCACCACCCATGCTGAGGAAGGCTGGGCTCACCCCGTGGTGCCAGGGGCCTGGAGTCCCCTGAGACTGGTCCATGAGCCACAGTTCTGCGCATAAAGAAGCTTTTCAGGCCCTACAGTGGATACCAGTGGGCTGAAGGGGTCTTACAGCACCCTTGAACCACACTGAACTACAGACCCGTCCCAGAGACCAACCCTCACGTACAGGTGGAGAAACTGAGATATAGGGAGGGCTGAGCCCAGGGCCCCAGTGTGTGATCACCCATCACGCAGAAAGATGTCGTCCCAGTCAAGTCTGTTTACTAGTTCCCAAGAACATGGCATTCTGGATCAGAGCTGTGGGGAGGCCAGAGAGAGCACTGAAACCAGATGGGCCAGGGTCAAAGCCTGGCCTCTCTAGTTTCCGGGTGGCCAAGGACTCTCCTCCTAGCCTCAGGGAACACATCTTAAAGCTGTTCTAGAGGACCAGGTGCCGCCCAGTGGTAGAGCCCTCGCCTAGTGTGTGTGAGGCTCTGGGTTCCATTCCCAGCACTTCAGAACAAACCCGAGGGGCGTGAAACAGGCCCTCTGCCCACTGCAGGCTAGCTGAGCCATTGTGGGGAGATGCTGGCCCGCTCCGGCCTCGGTCTTGAGAAGGTGTAGCACAGAAAGAGCCGGTTCACCTTGCGCCAGGCAGGCACAGAGCTCAGCGGTTACGGTGTCATCTCCTCCGTGGGTATTCAAGACAGTGCCTAGTCTTTTCTATAACTGTAACAAAATCCCTGAGACTGAAGAGTTTATGAAGAACAGAGGTTTATTTGACTCTTGATTCTGGAAGCTGGCAAGTCCAAGGGCTGGGACTGGCATCTATCTGCAGGGCTTCAGCCTGTATCCTAGCAGGGGACAGACATGATGGGATGGGCACCACCAGGCTGGCTTCTATAATAGACCCATGCCCAGAACAACCTGTTCACTCACTCATTTGTCCAGCCATTTGTTTGCAGATGGATTAATCCATCCCTGAGATCAAAGTCCATGACTTGATCTCCTCTCACCTCTACATATGCTTTTGGGGATTGAGTTTCCAGCAGCTGAACTCAGGGGTACAATCCCACCACAGCAGCCAGTGAGGAAACTTGAGGCATAGAGAGGTGGAGCATTTGTGTGCGAAATCATCCAGCTTGTGAGGCCAAAGTTGGGCCCAGCATGTGTGTGCATGTTGGTGTGTCTCCCTGTGTGCACACATGTGTGTAAGTGCATACCTGTGCACTTGTCACCCTCCTGGAGCCTCTGGGAGCCCACATCAGCTGCTCAGCCACCCATCTTCATGCCCGAATGTGAGAGCCGGCCTCCTCCAGGCTCTGGCAGGCCCTCCACGAGCACCCCGGGAAGCCCAGCCCTGTCCTCTGAGACCTCCTCCACTGGGGTCCCCAGAGGGAAGAAGCCTGTCACCCTCTGCAGGCTCCACACTCAGCACCTGGTGTGAGGAGGGCACCAGGGGTGGAACCTGCCGGGCAAGAGCCTGGCCAGGCTTCACCTCTGGTCGTGGTGTGGGTTTTGATAACCATCGTCCTTTGTCACTGCTGGGAAATTCTTTGAATAAGCATTTGCTGGAAAATCTGCTGTGTGGGTGGCAGAGGCAGGAGAGGTCTGGGGAAGGGTTTGCTGGAGGGGAAGGCCCAGTCCTTTGGCCCAGAAAGCCAGTGGGTGGGGAGTCACAGCCTGGGTCAGGGACAGGGGTCCAAACATGCAGGTGGCTGTGTTGTGCACGGGATTCCTCTGAGCTTTTTGTTCCCCCGACTTGGCCCAGCCCTCCTGCCCATTCATGGCCAAGGGGCAGTGGAGGGGCTCATCCCGTGAGATCTGGCCACTGGCTGCCAATTTCGCAGAACCCTCTCCAGCTGGCTCCACCACAGCAACCTTCCCCCTTTCCGGGAACCTGTCCCTCATCAGCTTCCTCTCTTGTGATGTCACTTCCCTTGTGACCCGCCCAGACACTTCCCCTGGCTCCCAGATGTGAAGTTAGGAGGACTGCAGGCCCCTCTGAGGCCCTCAAAGTCCCCTAGCACCTGACCTGGCTCTGGGACCCATCTGTTCCGATGGGTGGCCAAGGCCACCTGCAATCAGCCCCCACGCTGGAGGGGGTGCTGCAGCTTCACTGACGAGAGCGCACAGGCTGAATGTGCAGCCCTTGCTGTCCCACTTGTCAGGTGTCCCTAGAGATACCCCACCCTGGGGATTTGGGAGGCTGTCACCTCACTTTGCTGGCGTGAGACCTAAGGCTGCTAGGGCAGTGCCCGGGATTCGAGGGCACACAGCTTGTTCAGGGAGCAAAGCCGGGCTTGGTGCTCAGCTTGGCCACACTAGGTCTGTTGCTCTGGTCACCATGCGGGAAGCCACTGTCTCTTTTGTTTGTCAGTACTGGAGGTGGAACCCAAGACCTTCACACTGAGCTACGTCACCAGCCCTTCTCCTTTCTTCCTTTTTCTTTTGTTTTGAGACAAGGTGTTGCTAAGCTACTAAACTGCCAGGTTAGGCTTGGACTTGTGATTCTCCTGCCTCAGGCTCCCAGAGTGCTGGGAGTTATAGGGGTGCACCACCATGCCCAGTTTGCTGTCCCTCTTCTGTGGTTGTCTTCCCTGTAGCCTGTCATTAGGAAGAGTGTGAGTTCATCTCTCCTCTCTCACTTTCCTCCCTTCCTCTCTCCCTTTCTTCCCTCTCTCTCTCTTTTGTCCTCCATCTTCTTCCCACCCATCTTCCCACGATTTCTCCAAATCCTTGGTATCCAAGCCTGAGCAGGTTCCTCGGAACAGGGTATACCTCCAACACCCAGTACCTGGTGCAGGATGAGGGGTGGGCAACTCTGGGATCCCCCGGAGCTCCCTGGAGAGGGCTTGGCTGATAGAAGAGACAGGAGAGCCAAGGCCAGGCTCCTCACCTAGAAGGTTCTGCGGCAGAGTGACACTCCAAAGGTGGCTGCCCGGGGAGAGCTGGGGCCCCGGACCCCAGAGCTCCATGCCCTGTGTCCTTGTCCCAGCCTGTGTTTCTGGGGTTTCTTATTGTTATCAGGTGAAAATTAGCTGTAAGCTACAGTAAAACTAACTCATGCACTGCATGCATGAAACTGAGTGTCTTGGGATCGCATCTTTACTTTGCATGACTCCGTGTGAGTTGGGGGGTTGCAACCCTTTGAACTGTAATTCAAGGCAGGGGTTCCCCAGGATCCCTCCAACTTCCTGGAGACAGAGAGAGAGAGAGAGACAGTGAGACAGAGAAACAGAGACAGAGACAGAGACAGAGACAGAGACAGAGACAGAGACAGAGACAGTTCCTGTGGAAGGGACTGGAACCTTCGCGCTCTCCCCACAGACCAAGATGGCATTTTAGGCAGAAGGGCTCCCCTCCCCTCTACCTGGCTCTGCTTCCTCCTCTGTCTTCCCACTTCTGAGTGCCCCGTTGGCTCCTCATATCCCCTGCCCGGTGTTCGCCAGCCCCTAGCTCCCCTCTCCACTTTCTGGAGCCGTCTCCCGAATAGCAACCCACACAACGTGTTAATCCACGCAAAACCGGCTGGAGACGGACAGGAGGAGCCAGGCTTGCTCCTGCGCGCCCTCTGGTGGCGCCTCATTCACGTCCGGCGCAGCTAGATTGTGGAAATCTTGACGCTGGGATAAGGTTTTCAAAATGTTCTGTCTTGGGATCCCTTTAAATGTGTTTAAAATGACCGAGAGCACCCTCAAGAGATTTTTGCTTATACAGATTATATATCCATATTTACAGAATGGAAAATTAAATCTTAGGAAATTTTAAAATGTTTATTACAGTAGCTCCTTCTCACCCATAATGTAAGTTAACCACGGGCAACTGAGATCTGAAAATATCAAGTGGAAAATTCCAGAACTAATTCATGAATTTTAAATAACTTTCATTTCATTGCTATAACTATTTGTTAGCTACTGCTATCTATCCCTTATCGTGCATAATTTGTAAATTTCAGTTTATCATAGATATAGTTACGTGCTAAAAGAACAGGGTGTTAGGTGTTTGGTGCTACCAGGGATTTCAGGCACCCACTGAGGGTCTTGAAGGGACACCCATAGAGAGAAAGGGACTGCTGTCATTCCTTTAAAATAATCGGGCCAGGGCCGGGGAGATAGCTCAGCGGTCTAAGTGCCTGCCTGGCAAGCACAAGCACCCGGGTTCAATCCCTGGTACCGCATGCTGTGCAAGCCCTGTGCTGAGCTGGCCTCGAAACCAGGTGTGGTGACACACACCCGTTATCCCAGCACTGGGGAGGCTGAGACAGGAGGCTCACTATGAGTCTGAGCTGTGTAGTGAGATCCTGTACCAAATAAATAAAGTAAAATAATTGGGGCAGATGTAGTACTGCACATCTGTAATCCCAGCACTCTGGAAGGGTGGCAAGTTCAAGCCCAACCTGGGCATTTTAGCAACTTAATGAGACTCTGCCTCAAGTAAAATCAAACAAAATAAAAAGGTTGGAATGTGGATCAGTGTGAAGGCCCTGGTTACAATCCCTAGCACAAAAAAAAAAAGGGGGGGGTGCCTAGCAATGAAAAAAAACTATTATGTATTACAATAAAAATTTTTATTTTAAGAAAAATTGTTTCTCAGAATCCAAAACATTTAGCAGCCTGGTGTCACTATTTTATGTGTTTTCACAGCTTTAATAACTGGCTGTGAAGACCACGGCTGACCCCTTAACCTGCTTCTGCATTCAGTCGGTTATGATTCATAGACCATGTAGCCTCTGGAACATCGTGCTGTCTGGCTGTGAGAATGGGGACAAAAAGCAGAAGCCACCTGGGTGTTACAATTAAAAATGATCTGGGACCCCTGCAGGGTTCCTGGACTGTGCTTTGAGAACTGCTGGTGGGGTAAGCTCAAGAACCAGGTTACAGAAAGAAAGAAAGAAGAAAGAAGGAAGGAAAGAAAGAAAGAAAGAAAGAAAGAAAGAAAGAAAGAAAGAAAGAAAGAAAGAGAAATAAAAAGAACAGGGTTACTGTTCTCAGGCAGTCTGGGCCAAGCCTCTGGGTGAGCGAACGATAGAGTCTGAGGGGCTCAGTCAGTGCCCGGAGCTAGGCTGAAGCCCTCCTCTGCCGAGCTGCCTGGATTCCAGCCGCACCTCAGCTCCTCCCATGAACCTCTCTGTGAGTCAGCTGAAAACAGGCCTCCTGGCCATGCCAGGTGACAGGGAGAAATGCAGTGTCCCTGTGCAGAGAGTCCCAGAGCTAGGGGGTGGAGAAAGTGGTCATTAGACCCTCGAAGTCTGTGCTCAAGTGTTTGCTGATTGATTAACTAATGGGTTCATTGATCTGTTGGGTGCTAACCATGCTCTGGAGTTCCGAGGAAGTGTCTGGTCCCAGGAACGAGGTAGCCCACCTGGGGGTGTTGTGCACGTATGTGAAGGGTGCTGCCACTATGCTTTGGGGTCCTGTCCCCCTTTCCTCTTCTATCTTAGCTGGGGCCATGTCCCAGGTGTGTCCCCCACTTGCAAAGGCTTCTCTCTGTTCAGTGGAGACACCCATTTCCTGTGAGCCAGTGGAGCCGTCCCACTAGTTCTGTGAGGGTGTCCCCCTTAGGATGGGCGGGCCCTACCTCTCTGGGGTGGTTGCATGGCTCTGAGAGGGTGTGCCATTTTGAGGTGTGGCCTCATCCCCACCCAAAGTGGGGCTCTCACCTTTCCTGTTTGAACAGAGCCCCTTCTTGGAGGAGAGGGCTGGTATCCATCGGGATGACGCCACTCCTGGGCTGGCAGTGGCCACACCCGGGTGTCACTGGGCAGGACACAAGCCCATCAGCTTTGTGCTATGGGTCCCCAGAGGAACAGCCAGGGCAGGGACAGAATGGGGGCGCTGCTGCTCCCTTGTCCCACCCTGAGCACCAGGGCATAGTGTCTTCTATCTACGGTGGCCCATCTAGATCTTTTTTCCCTGCTAACTTGTGGAAGCCCTTTGTCAGCTCTGAGGTAAAGAGAAATGATCATTCTCCTTATTTAAAAAAGGAGAGAGAGAAAAAAAAAATAAAAATAAAAAAAAAAAATAAAAAAGGAGAGAGAGACTTAGAGAAGGACCGTGATTTGCTGGGATCTCACAGCACACAGGTAGCTAGGACCAGAACCTAGACTTTGAATTTAGCCTTCAGGCAGGGGGCTATTGACGGTTTTTAAGCAGAAGAGTGACATAGCTGGGACACTTCTGGGAAGATGACTGCACCCCCAGGAGAAATCCTGACAGAGGAGGAGGAACTGGGGGTGCAGCTCCTCATTCCTTCTGGCCACCCTTTCTGCCCCACTGTGCACTGTGGCCCAGCTGCGCTGCCCCTGTGCTGGAGGGTTTCTTGTCACCCCTAGGTTGTGTGGCTTGCGCACCCTGCAGCCCTACGCTGAGAGGATCCCTGTGGTGGCCACGGCTGGCATCACCATCAACTTCACATCGCAGAGCTCCCTGACAGGGCCGGGCGTGCGGGTGCACTACAGCCTGTACAACCAGTCGGACCGTGAGTGTGTGTGTGGGGGGGTGCACCCCAGCCCCAGGGCCCCTCTTTGCCCTCTGTGTTCCTGGATGGGAGCAGCTGCAGAGGTAGCTGGACCGCTGATGCGACTGTGTGTGCATGGGTGTGGGCAGACACAGTACAGGCAGCGTCGTGTCTCCACGTGGGTCTGTCCCGTGTTTGCACATACCCACGCAGGTGTGGTGCGCACGTTCCTGGGTGTATGCAGCTGCATGCTGTCCCACCATGGTGGCCCTGGGAACCTGCATGCATGGTGCACACAGGTGTGTGCCTTCTGCCTGTGTTGCATGACTTTGTGTGGCCCAATAGTGCCCTCCTGTCCCCTGGCCCTCTGTGGTTCCCAGCCTGCCCCGGTGAGTTCCTCTGCTCCGTGAATGGACTCTGTGTCCCTGCCTGCGACGGGATCAAGGACTGCCCCAACGGCCTAGACGAGAGAAACTGCGGTGCGTAGCCCAGCTGCCGCCTTCCTCCCCTTGCTTCCCTGCACCGGGCTGAGCTGAGCCCCTCATGAGCATCCAGGAAGTGGGCTCTCTCACTGGGCTGAATGACAAGATGGGGCAGATGGCCTCCCGGGCGCCACACTGTAAGGCAGAGGCAGAGACAGGCTGGGCCTCCCACCTCAACTCAGGGCTTCTCCCCACCATCCCAACAGTGTGGCCATCTGTTCTGGCCAGTGTTCCAGGGGAGAACAAAGGGGGACATCTCTTGTACAGTCCCCCTGCGGTGTCAGGAAAAGCGATTCATATTTGGAAACTGGACAGTGGGTTTCTGGTTCTCGTTTAGCCAGTTGACCTTGAATGAGTCACCCTATCCCTGTTTCTACCAAGGAAATGGGGTATTTCACAGGGATGCTGGGAGACCAAGGGGCTTAGCAGCAGAGAAAGATGGGGCGTGGGTAACATGCTGCGCATGTTCCAGTCACACCGCCAAGTCCCAGCTGGCTCCTCTCGCCTCCTCCCCTGCCCTTCTGTGCACCCCCCAGTCTGCAGAGCCACATTCCAGTGCCAAGAAGACAGCACGTGCATCCCCCTGTCCCGAGTGTGTGACCGGCAGCCCGACTGTCTCAACAGCAGCGACGAGGCGCAGTGCCAAGAGGGTAGGGTGGTGGGTGTCATTGTGGAGACAAGATGCCTGGCACCCACAAGTTAAGGGAGGGAGGGTTTATTTTGGCTTCCTTTTGCACAGGTCTCAGTATAGATGGCTGGTTCCAAGGCTGAGGGGTGTGGCAGAGGGCATCGCAGAGCAGAAATGGTGCATGGCAGGGCAGGCAGAAGGCAGCAGAGTGCTGAAACAGCAGTAAAAGTGCCAACAGTAGCAGCAGAAGTGGCAGCCTGCTTCGGCTTTTATATTCCACCCAGGCTACCTGCCGTTGGGTGGAGAACCCTCACTGCCAGCATCAGATGCCCTAACCCAGCCACCTTCAAAGCTCCCCACCTAGGACCAATTACAGCTTTGGGAGGACATTGAGATCAAGCTGTAACAGTGGGGACTAGCCATGGATCTGGGGGGTGGGGCAAAAGAAGGGGCCATCACTAGGCACTCCAGCCCCTTTGCATTTTTCTCAGCAAAGGTTTATGACCTCTTATCAAATACCTAGCACCTCTCCATAGCTGTTGGTGTGCCCATCCATCCATCCATCCATCCAT